CTAACTGATAAAATCATAGTTGGACATGGTGATTCATCCCTGTAATCCCAGTACTTTGAGAGGCCGAGGCAGGAGGATCACTTTAGAACAAGAGTTCGAAACCAGCTTGGGCATAGGGAGACCTGGTCTCTAATTAAATTTTAAAAAGCAAAAATTTAAAAAATCTTGCCCTTACTTAAGATTCCTAGAAATTAGGAATACTCAGAATTGGCACCTCTAATATTTACCAGTTACCCATCCAAAGATGTTCCAAGATAATACATCATCACAAACTGAACAAAAGAGAATATAAAGCATTACTTAACCCTTGAGAGAAAAAAAAAATGAGGTGGTAGGGGGAAAAAGTTCTCCTGAAATAAATCTGTGAAAGTTGCAGTATGATGTAATACATTTACAGTTTTTAAAGCAACCATCTAAAAAAGAAGACTACAGTTGTCTCCTGGGCACCCCCACCTTCTCTAGAGACTACCAGCCAATCATTCTGAATCCCCCCTTCCAGAGTCTTCTAATTCTGGGGTGGCTTTCTTTCAGGCTTTTCTCACCATTAGTCTAGATTTTAGTTTTTCTCTATCTAATAAGTCAGCACTCATTCATTTGCTTGGTTGCTTCCAAGATTTTGTTGTTATTGTCTCTTCTTCTGTTTTTCTTTGCCCTTGCGGATTTTTACTTAAAAAAAAAAAAAATCAGTGGTGGTTCAGGAGGAAATAGGCAAATATGGCTTAATATGCCATGCTATCTGTTACTTTCCTTTTTCCAATTTCTCTAAATTGCAATTACCCTATTTGCAAATCTTTACCTTTGTATACTGAGTATGTGAGTGTTTAAAATGTATCATTTGGTCTGTGGTTTAATGAATTAATGAATCATAAAAGAACATATCCAGACCTGATCCAGATGAATGGACATAACTGGGAAATCCTGGATCCTGTCCCTTCCACAGAAGGTGGATGAAACTCCTGGAAAAGGTGTGAGTGCATCTGCAACAGCGCAAGGAGAGCCACCTTATGTGAAGAAGGAAAATTCTGAAAATGTGTATGGGAAGGTGTGTGTGTGTGTGCACATGGTTATTACTCATCATAAGATAGCTAAGGTGCTGGCTATCATATGAGGATCACTTGACCCCAGGATTTCGAGCCCACAATTTGATGTGATAGGTCTAGTGAGCATGGCTCATCACATACACACAAGGATGGGCTGCAACACAAGCCAGGACAGCCAAAATCCTTCCTTGGATTTTTCTAATCCAAGGGAGGATAACAAATCATGGAGTAGCAAGGCTGTGTCTGAAGCCATTCACAGCTTGGAAGCAATTGTTCCACAGTGGGAGAGAGCAAAGGCAACAAGCTGAGAGAAACCTAGAGATGGAGGACATCCCGGGGGCATTCCAGTCGCCTTTGTGATCCATGTGCACTCCTGTCCTTCCCTTTCTGCTTCTGCATTTGTTTTGTGGGTTTGTGCCTTTTAAAGTTATATTTTAATACTTGAAATTAAGAGTTGTAACTAATATATCAACCAAACACACAAAGCAAAAAGAGTTTCATATTGAAAGTTTAGTTATTGCCATAGTTATGTGAAATTTTCACATAATTGTAATGGTTTAAGTATCTATAAATAATTAAAGCTAAAACTTTAGAAAACATTAAAAAAATAAAAATAGAAACATGAGCATCATTTTCCATATTGGTCTGAATATACGGTAACTTAAAACAGTTCAACAGTACAGGGCATAATAGCATAATTTACATTCTGAACTTTGGGTAAAAAGAGGGACAGATGCAGGTCTGGGGGGAATTAGACAAGGCCAGGGATTTTTTAAGTCTATGTTTTAAAGCTTTGAAAATTTTTTGTTATTTGCTTTTAAATGTACTATTCTGATGCTTTTAAAAGACAGCAAATTTCAAGAAACCATTTAGTCTAAGGCAAAGACAAGACTTCTTTTTAGTTATAGAATATCAATATGGGGCTATTAAAAGAATATTATGGAGGGCAAATCCCTAGAGTAGAACTTCTTAGGAACATAATTTATAGTCTGTCATATGATATCCAGCACCTTTGTCATTATAAAGTCTTTTGTAAAAAGTAACCCTTAGGTCTTGTTTCTCTTTTATCTGGACTTAATACAGCATTATTTTTGACCACTGTAGTTATCACTATTTTTATACGTACTGCCTGTTGAAAAGGTAGAAACTGAAGAGCTTAAATTTTTCCTACACTCTTATTATTGTCCATGTTCTTGTCTTTTTCAGTGATTTATACCTTATCACGAGTTCTAAAAGAAACCTCTAATTTCTGGAGAGTAGCTCTATCATCTTGAGGATTCCTGTCTCAGCAGAGTAAGGCTCTGTGACTTGGAAGACATGCTGGGGTCCTGGCTTTCATCAGAGTCTGGAGACACAGGTTTGACTACACTCAGTGGAGAGAAAAAAAACTGATGAGTCCTTGAGGAAGTAAATAGGGTACTGTCTGGAAGTTTATACTTCATGGTTACTGGGGCCATGAAAAGCCAGTCTATGAAGTATGCAATTAATATTCATATAGTATATCACAATCTCATAGTGAATATGAGATATAAAATCTTCTAAAATTCTAAGGATTATACTGCTACGTTAGGGGCACCTTGTCCCAGGTAGACTCTACTCAAATAACTGCTCTTCTTGATAAGTCACAGTGCTCAACCTTTCTTTCTGATCTGCGTTTTGGCTGTCTTTGGTCTGCTGGTCAGCTCTTGGATAGTCTAGGATAACCACCTCTAGGATGGGCTAATTCCAATCAGAAAAAGGTTATTAGCTGAAATGATAATTTTGAAATAAAATCTTAATCCAGGATATACTAGATTAGCATAGCAGCTTTCAAAATGGCAGATACCATTTTGTGATTGACAATTGTAGCTGGTCACTTATAATTAAGCCCAGAGCTTAATACAGCAAGCCTAAGGGTTAGTCCCCTAGAAAGGTTGTTGTGATTACTATCATTGCTCCTGAGTTCCTTCTTTTCGTTTTCTCCAGAAATAAATCATTGTCCAGAAAGCAGCAATCTTTCTAAAGGGCTCTAGCAGCTACACTGAGTGTGGTCACTGAATGTAGCACTTATACATGGTGTGCAATGTCACTGGGCACTTAGAACCCTCACGGTCTCAGGTGACAAAACTAGTAAATGATGAGAACTCAGATGAAGGAAAACTCTATTTAATTGATGGTGTTCTTAAAATTAACATAAACTCTATGAGCTGAATTCTTTCAGTATTCTACCTCACTGCCTAATTTAGAAATGGAAACATTCTTGATTTGGAGTCTGAGTCTGAATGTTATGGGTCTTGAACATAAAAAACTAAAGACTAAGGATAGCAAGGGTTATCGCAATATCTAGATAGGTAGGAGAGGTCTAATTGCTTTGTATTCTTCCACAAATTTTCTGTTCTTCCTTGAAAGGATACTATTCATAAATCATTCTGTCTCTTTCCCACTTATTTTCTTATTTCAGTTTACTTCCTAAATTATAAAAATATTAAATCTTCACATAAACCTCACAAAGTGGATATTATTTTGTCCCCATTTTACAGATTAAAAAAATTAAAGATAAGAACACATTCAAGGTCAGGTGAGAGCCAAGATTCAAACTCAGTCTGGCGCAAAAGTCTATGCTCTGGTACACTATACCACTTAGCTTTACCCAGAAGACTTGGCTTGGTTGTTTCTTTGCTAGAAGTGTCTTAACAAGGTTATAGGCAAGTACTCTTAGTTGGTTAAGTCGTGAGTCTCTATGCAGATAATGCCATATTTCCAGGTCACTCTGATTTATTAAGTCCCTAAATCCTCTCTTCCAGGGCAGCCCTATACTTCACTGATTAGCTTCCTTCTAAGGCTATTTCCAAAACTTACTTGATAATAAGAATCATCTGGAAATTTGTTTAAAATGTCACTGCTCAAGATTCTGTCCTTAGAGATTCCAATTCAATGGGTCTGATGTCCCAAAAGTTTGTTTTTGTTTTTGTTTTTTTTTTTGAGTTGGGTCTCACTATGTCACTCAGGCTGGAATCCTCATGGCTCACCACAGCTAAAATTTATATTTTTAACAAGTGAGCCAGATGATTCTTCTCATCAGTCAAGTTTAGGGAACACTGCCATAGGAGTTTGAGCCAATGGGAATAAACATTGTTGGTCTTAAGTACTACACACTAAGATGAAATTTCTATAACTGAATTAATCCAGAGCAATCAGTACATATGGCATTAAGTGTTGGTTTTTTTTTTCCAGGAAGAACTGGGGGGTGGGCTGGAATGTCTTCGTGGGTTTCTTCTTTTGAGTGATGACTGTTAGAAAGAATTCTTTAATGGTTGTGCCCTTGAGGGAGTTTCTGCATTGCTCTGGCCATGGAACCACTTACATCAAATAGAAAGTAAGCCATTTTATATAGTTCTTTTAAGTCCTGCCTAAGAGAATTCTGGAGAAGAGTAAAATAAATATAGAGGAAAAAGAAATACACAGATTTCATTCCTTGAAAGCCCCTAAAGCAAACTTCTTGTATAACTAAGAGACAGGGACTCGGGGTTTTCAACTTAAATGTTCATGAATAATATACAGAATTATTTAGGAGAATATTTTATGAGGGATTAAATCAATTTATATAGTCTAATCAGAAAGCAGAAATTATCTTTGACACTCAAAGAACTTAAATGCAAAACTGTTGAAATTCATGATTATCAAACATTGTTTAAGGTTTAAAAAAGATCTCAAACATGCTTAATCTGCTCTGACACTATGTTCACTTCTTGTCAGAAATGAAGTTTCCATCTGAGGTACCACTGAAAGCCAAATTTCAATTGCTGTATTTATGAGTCAGCAGGGGGGAAAGGTAGAAAATAATATTAAAAGACAGTCAAAGGAAGAAAAAGCAAATCAATCCTTTCTGCCCTGTGGACCCATCTGCTTGCCAGGCCTCACTTCTGAGGGAGGCGCTTCAAATCGGTGGCAGAGGCCTACTCAGGCCTAAGATATACATACCTCTTGGTGGGAGTGGGCACTCCAGAGGACATGTGGCTAACCACGGTGTCATTCATATTAGTCAGAGGTCGAGGAGGACTGAAAGAAAAGACATTTACCTTATATTAATAATTATCAACATGACTGGGGAAACATGTAAAAGAGCGATAAGGGCAAAGAAACCAACTATCATTTCTGATAAGTACAGTGGGACCCACAGGGAGTGGAAGTAGAAATCAATACTTCAGGCCCAAGTAAAGTCAATAAGAAGGGGTTCTCTCTTACAAAGCCACAGGACCAGAGAGCTGTGGGGTACCAGGAAAGGCAACTAATTATAAACACACTATTATAGGATGTAACTTCAGTGGTTTTTGTTTTGTAGTCTTAGTATAAAAGAATCTGAATTCTGCTATTTAATTTCTCTACATTTTAGTACAAGATGACTAGGTGTTTGGCATTTGTTGTATAAAGGTCACAACATCAAGGTGCATGCTTTTCCTGAGCTTTGGTGAAAGCTCATTGCCTTGCTCAGACTTATTTGCAAACTTTTTTTTTTCGAATCAGAGTCTTACTCTGTTGCCCAGGCTGGAGTGTAATAGCACGCTCATGGCCATTGCAGTTTTTGACCTACTGGGCTCAGACGATCATTTTGCCTCAGCCTTCCAAGTACTTGGAACTACAGGCGCATGCCACCATGCCCAGCCAATTTTTTTAATTTATTGTAGAGACGAGGTCTCGCCAAGTTGCCCAGGCTGATCTCGAACCCCTGAACTCAGGCAATCCTCTCGCCTCCAACTCTCAAAGTGCTGGGATTACAGGCTCACACCACCACGCCTGGCTAGTTTGCAAATTATTTAATCAAAACAATTAAATTGTTAAATACAAAATTCAAAAATGAGACTCTGGAACAAATAAACTTTTATTAATTTTTTTATAATCAATATTTTTTATTATGATATTGTGGGGTACAGTTAAGGGTTAGGTATACAAATATGCTTCAGGCACCCTTGTTGATAAGAGGTGTCTCCCCGATAATTCTTTACTTAATTATAAAATGAATCCAAATTTTATACCTATGACCTAATTAGAATACTGTTTATAACCTAATCCAAATTTAAATCTGAAGGCAAGCATTTTTGGTAACTTTAGCTGTGGTTTTTTGGACTCAGTCCATCTATTTCTCCCTCTTGTGGGAATCCTGAATGAATGAATCCAAACTTACCCAAAGGAGACTGGCATCTTGCCTTCTAAGTCATTCTGCAACCCCTCTCCCTCCCTGCCAGGTTCAGCTACAAAAGGTCTCTGCCTTGTATCTGGAGCCACATGACTACTGTTAAATATTTCTCCTGGAAAATGTCTCACTTACTCTTTTAAACTGGAAGAAGTAAAGTCAGGCCCCACATAATAATGTTTAGGCCAACGACAAACTGAATATACTAGATTATAATACCTTATTTTTACTGTGCCTTTTCTGTGTTTAGATACCCAAATACTTACCATTGTGTCACAATTGCCACAGTATTCAGTAGAGTAAGAGGTTGTACAAGTTTGTAGCCTAGAAGCAGAAGCAATAGGCCATGCCATATAGCCTAGGTGTACAGTAGGCTCTACCATCTAGGTTTACTTAAGCACACTCTTTCACACAGCAATTAAATTACCTAATGATGCATTTCTTAGAACGTCATTAACGTCATTAAGTGATGTATGTCTGTACTTCTTAGAGATATCTGCCCATCAAAAGCACAAAGGTGAGGCTAAGAAGTCCTTCTCTCATATTTAGGGACTTGGGAACTGCCTCCTGATTTCTCCTTGCCTTTCAAGGCAGAGTTAATTATGTTAAATGTTTTTGGAGAGGTTATACTTTGTAATTCTTGGTGAATATTAAGGGATCATAGCCTTTACTGTTCTGCAGGTTTCATAGTAAACACAAATAAGGCTCAAGGGGAAATATTTCAGGGAGAACCAAGGCACTCAAAAGTTAAAGAGGGATATTTCTCTCTTTGTCTCCATCTATCTATGCTTTTTTCTTTTCTTTTTAAACTAATTTCCCTTCTAAGTTTTTTGTTTTTGTTTCTTTTAATGATTTCCCATTTAATGGAAAAGATCCAAGATGGAAAGCAATTTGCAGGAAACAGATTTTGGTCTCTTGATTTTCAAGTCATGTTACTATGCTTATTTTTCTACATTCCTCCCTTTGTGTGATGAGTCCCTAAGTAAGACATTCAGAATTGAAATATGTCTTTCTAGGCTAGAATTAAATTCCAAGTTATTTATCTGACTATCTGTCTTCCAGACAGATATCCAATTATGCTCCCAAATTTTCAAGGCCATTAATGCTAGTGGCTGTGTTGAGTTATAATCAATTAATCAATTGTTTTAGGTTGACTAATGATGGAAGTGAATACAGAGATTAGTTTAAGTTTAGTACTAAATTTATATTTTGCCTCTGGTTCTCTTAAATCAATTATCCAACTGGAACAAGGAGACAATTACTATGAAAGAGCCAAATCCAGCATAACAGCTTTTTGGTCCTGGAAATAGAATGGACTTTTGCTTCCTTAATATATTATTATTAACAACCCATTTCCAAAATAAGATAAGGGCATTTTCATGTTGCTTTTAGAACTAATACTGTTACCTAGTATATTTTAATATTAAAGATTCTACTGCATTCAATTTCCTTTGTGACATTCTTAGAGGAAAAATGACAATAAAAAAGTTTTTAATTCTTTAAACATGGATCCATGTAATAAAATTTCATGATTGTAAAATTTTGTGGCCGGGCATGGTGGCTCAAGCCTGTAACCTCAGCATTTTGAGAGGCCGAGGCAAGAGGACTGCCTGAGCCCAGGGGTTCAAGACCAGCCTGGGCAACTTGGTGAGACCTCATCTCTACAATATATCAAAAAATCAGCCGGGCATAGTAGTGCATGCCTAGAGTTCCAGCTACTTGGAAGGCAGAGGGATCGCCTGAATCCAGCAGGTCGAGGCTGTGGTGGCCGTAGGCATGCCACTGCACTCCAGCCTGGGGGACAGAGTGAGACTCCAGTTCAGGATAAAATGAACAAAAAACAAGAAGAAGAAGAAAACATTTTGCTTGGTCTGATATCACAAAAGTCTTTATATCATTTCTATCTCTTGGCAGATATCATATTCAATTATAGTAGCATATCTTTTTTTTTTTTTTTTTCAGTTGGAGTCTCACTCTGTCACCCAGGCTGGCGTGCAGTGGCCGCTCCCGGCCACCGCAGCCTCGACCTGCTGGGCTCCGGCGATCCTTCCAAGTAGCCGGAACTACAGGAGTGTGCTACCACACCCGGCTCATTTTTTAAAAATTTATTGTAGAGATGAGGTCACGCCAAGTTGCCCAGGTGGGTCTCAAACAATTCACTCACTTCGGCCTCCCAAAGCATGGGATTACTGGCTGAGCTACCGAGCCCGGCAATAGCAGCATATCAAAGCCTCTTCTCTAATATTCCAAACCAAATAGTAATGATAAACTATAAACTCATTTGTAACTACCCCCAAATGTCATACCCTTTCTGAATTCCTAACATGTTTAGCTAAAGAGACAGGTATGTGCTTACAGTTCAAGATGAAAGAGGCATTTGCAAACTTAAAGGAGGTCTCTACTACAGAATCTCCACTAGAGCCACAGTTCTTTCTGTTAGAAATCTTACATCTATCATCTCACTCTTTTAAGAATCAGTTCACAAAATTATTTTTCTGCCACTTAACTGCAAAGGAATTAGTCAGATTCAGATATAGTTTGTCAGAGTTTCCAACAAATTCTGTAAATCTCCTGGTTAGTTCCAGATGTTGATTCTTTAGGGAAGTGTGGCTCCCAGGTGCACCAGGAGGTAGGAAGGTCAGAGAGCAGGTGCTCCTTCCAAAACAGGGCTCGGACCCATCAGAATCCCTCCATGGAGGCCAGGGAAGACTGAATTTGTTACTTCTTAATCAAAGGGAAAGAGGCACTCTTACTGGGTGCCTACTTATCAAAGATAAGTAAGGCTATCTTTATTTCAATCTAATTATATATAGATGGAGACAAATATGCAAACAGACCATCACAATGCCACATAATGAGTGCAGCAATGCCAGTAAAGTCAGTCTTCTAACGTCTATGGATGGAAGATATGTGCAGAAAAAAAATTCCAGAAAGCTCCAATTCTGTTTAAGTTTTTATAACTTGTATCATTATTGTCTACTTTACACCTGGAAGTATTCTTTTCAGCTATGGCTCTGTCACACAAGAACCGAAACTTGAATTTTCCATGTGCCAAGTACTATGCTGGATCCATGTGAATGTAGTGATGTACAGGCATTGTATTAGTATTCTAGAGATGATTTACAGTATACAGGAGGATACACATAGGTTATCTGCAAATACTATGCCATTTTATATAAGAGACTTGAGCATCCTTGGATTTTGGTATTTGTAGAGGGTCCTGGGACCAATGCCTCATGGATACCAAAGGACAATTCATAGACAAAGTGTCGAGGCATCATAGATGAACAGCAGTTACTCTTGCCTGCAGGAATGAGAGGGGAGAATAGTCAGGGAAGGCCTCAGAGGTGAAGTAACATTGAAAAGAAGAATTTCCCAGATACAGAAAAAAAAAGGTAAGGGCAACCCAGAAAGAAATAATAGGAAAATAGACAGAAATCCAAAAGTATATAGCAGATTGAGTCTAACTTACTTGGTTGGTCTCAAAGGCACCTGAAGGGGAGTAGCTGAAAATGTATCTGGAAGGGTGCAAGATTAGGGCAAGAACACACAAGCTAAGAAATTTAGACTTTATATTGTAGGCAGTGGGAAAAACACTGAATATTCCCAGAATGATATGACTATAGTTGGGTTTTTAAAAGATAACTCTAGAAGCTTGTAGCATATTGTTTGTTTGTTTTTTATTTTTATCAAAAGTGTGCATAGAAATCATCTGGAAAACTTTTTGTAAAATAAGATACCCAAGCTTTACCCTCAGTTTAGTGAATCTAAATTTCTGGAGATGAGGGGATTCCTTCTAAAGCACCCCCATTTAAAAATCATTTATGTAGGATAGATTTGGAAAGAAGGAATGGAAGCAGGAAAACTA